ACCTGTGTAAGGCAAATGAAAATATGACTCGGAGTGAAGATCCTCATAGTATCACTCCACTCCATTTCAAATTTGATCGTTTTAGTGCAAGAGAGTTCAAGATTATCAGCATTTATAAAAGTTCATGTTTGGTAAAAAAAAATATTGAAATTAATTTATATCTTCTAAACGGTAATAGATAGGTATAGGGAAATAGTATATCAATTTGTTGACAAAGTGATAATGAATCATATTATATTATATACGGGGTGTTCCATTTGAAAAATCAAAGAAGCCGCTACTTTATAGTAGAAGCGACAACGCCGCTTCGTCTATTGTAAGATTTTCAGGTTGATCCGTTGAATAGTTTGCCAGAAACGGCTAATTAACGCTCATCATGAAAAGCCCTGTATATTGTATGTACTCACTACCTCATTATTATTATTATTGAGGAAAAATCTGCTATATAGAGTTAAGTGGAAAAACATATTCCTGATGAAGTAAGTAATTGCTTCTTTGGAGAAAATGAACTTCGCTCTTTATTTTCCAAATTTATTTTTAATATTTCTTTTAATATAGATGCACTGTATGTGGAAAATAATAAAGACGTATTATTATTATTATTATTAGGTATCTGAAAATAGAATGTCTTGAAACTGGATGATAGAAACATAACTTTGTTTTTCCTCGTATGTATGAATCGGACATTATCAGGAACTGTGTTCGATAAATATAATTTGGGGTGAATTCCTTTCCATTTGGAAAAGAAACTATTGAAATTGGTCTGAAAATGAAAAAGTTATTCCAGATCGAAATTTGTTAACATTTCAAGGCCGCTGCTTTTTATGCAATATTCATGACGAAAACTTCCTCACCTTTAAATTCGATTGAACTTTTCTAATTCATATAAAATGTATCCGACAAGGTAGATAAAAGTTACTTTACCGTCTTACAGACCTGCCAAGTGGTAATCCAGTGATGAATATTGAGCCCGCTAAAGCTGAGATTGGGAAGAAGATAAGAGCGCATTGCCACGCCCCCGGATCAAATCCACCCGCCAACATTACCTGGTTTATAAATGACGAACAGGTGTGTTACATTTTTCATTTCTGAATGTTTTCTTCCTATGAATATTATTATACCCGGAATAAATCTATTTACGAAAAATTTTTTTTTGTTGTGGAAGAGTGTGAGATGCTTCAAATTATATTTTTATTTCGTCTCCAATCTGGCAAACAGCTCCTAACCAAAATTGTGACTATTTGCTTAAAAGTTACATTGTCAGATATAGATATTAGTGCATAGTTCCTACAGAATGGATAATAATTATCACAATGCGGTCTAGTCTGTAGGAATCAAACCTGTTAGAACTCGATTTATATCTACTGTCTACTCATTATATTAAATTAAATTCATTAAATTATTTAATTCTCGTGATCCTGATCAGGATAATAAGATAAACCTATGAAATTATTTAGTCTGGTTCACATGTACTTTTTTTGTAACATTTTTCAGCCCTGTCCAAAAATTACGACCAAGATGTCACTCGATTCGTGTTTTTGGCTAGAAAGTTTAAGGAAAGGTCCGAAAACGCGCCGATAAAAATTACAAAAGTTATAAACAATTAAGTGAAAAAAAAAGTGGGGCTTTAGTTTTTTTTTAATATCTCGGAAAATTTTCAAAATTTTGGAAATATGAAAAAAGATTTGAAAAGATCAATGAATTTGCGTAAAAAAAGTCCCGACTCCCAAAACTGTATCTCGATTATTTATAATTTTTACAGAGCCTTGAAAATAGAGCCAAAAGCAGGTAGTCTGGCTTCCGCGCGCCTTTCGTCACTCTGACATAAAAACAAAAAAAATTATTTGAACATATTAAATGTAAATATGGAGGAATGAAAAAATTGATGTAATGTTGGGATACATCAATAAACAATAATCCGCAGTCAAAAAATTTTTATCCCAATTTTAACGTTAATTATAAATTTGTTAATATTTTTTTTATTCTTTTTTCAATTGATTATTTAAAAAAAAATTGTTACAAACAAATTATTATTTTTTCAATACTTTGTTCTATAATAAAAGTAACTATGTGTTTTATTTTAATTTATTCTATTTTTTATCAAACTTAATATTGTGATACCTTGATACTTGTCTTTTTCATTCGCTCCTTCGCTTTTATAATTATAATAACTTTCAAACTATTGCAGTTATGATAAATATGCTTTAGTCTTTTTTGTTCATTATGAATTCATGAACAATTTGAGCCTTTTACTAAAGTTGTAGTCCTATTATTTATTTAATTATTGATCGTTATTTATTAAAAAAAGGAAACTTTCAAGTCTTTTCGATATAAACTTCGTGTCATGTAACAATAAATCATTTTGGAGTTTCGGGAGTCGCGACTTTTTTTACGCAAATTCATTGATCTTTTCAAATCTTTTTTCAAATTTCCAAAATTTTGAAAATTTTTCGAGATATTGAGAAAAAACCAAAGCCCAATTTTTTTTTCACTCAATTGTTTATAACTTTTGTAATTTTTATCGGCGCGTTTTCGGACCGTTTCTCAATCTTTCTAGACAAAACTACGAATTGAATGACACCTTGGTGGCTGAAAAATGTCACCAAAAAGAGCTAAATCGAGTACATGACTATTGGAGTCTCAAAAAATATGGAAATTACAGAAATAATTCACACTCACAAACAATTCGTAGAGCTGAGCCTTTACATTTTTCCTGAGACTATTTTCTGTAAAAAGTGACAATGGAAAAGGTGCAAGCTCGTATTGTAAATAAGTTTCCATATCTTTCATATGTTTCGAAAGGTAATCTATTTTGTAATATTTTTGTTTTCAGGTCACTCTCAATAACACCAGTACGAGTGTTCTCCATCTAGAGTTTGACACCGATTATGATTTGGGTCTCAAGTCATCCAAATCAAAACTGGAATTAACAACAGATAGATCTCATTTCAATCGAGGATTACTGACTATAAAATGCAAGGCCTCGGTCTATACTTTGTGGCAAGAAAGTGTGCAGAATAATGTGAGAGAAGATGTTCCACAGCTAGCTCCAGTAATAGGTTCCACTTCATCGCAGAGTCATACCGATCAAGTGATAGGTGTGTTGATATTAGAGATGAGGCATAAATATAGGAGCATAAGAAAGAATTCGAGCTAGTAGTGCTGAATGTTTCGTCTGCTACTGCAGCAGACATCATCAGTTATAAGTGCGTTGACTGTGAGGTCGAGTGTTTCATTCCGAAGTCTCCGACTAACTGACGAGCTACGTATTCATTTGTATTTATACCTCAGAGGGGGTTTGGGGATGGTGGCGGAGGTAATGATGGGATGTCCGTGCAACTGCTTACTCCTGAGTGGTCCGTACTTTTGCTGTGTCGTCATAACGCCAGCCCCACTCCAAATACACCATCACTCCCACCACGCTTTGAAATCGAAAGTATAGGTGAATCCGTTGCTCGTCAGTCATTTGTTGGTGATACTTTGACATATGATTGTTGTCCTCACATATAGCTGGTGATGTCTACCGCAGTTGCAGTAGAAACTTTTGGTACTTCAGTTTACATTTGACAACTGCCTACCAGCTAGGATTTTAGTCTCTTCAATTAAGACGATCGTTTTCTATATGTTACCAACATTTTATTTTCCTCAACCGAATCAGGATTTTTTATATTTTTTGACAAACATACGATAATCCTGAAACACTGCAAAGTTTATTCATTAACCAAATAAGAAAGAGTCGTTTATAATGAAAATTCATAGTTTGTCTTTGAATCACATTTATGTTATGACAAAAACTATAAACTTGAACTGAAAACTCGTTTTTATACATTTGAATCGATGTTAGTTTTTTTATATTATTTATTTATTTACAGTTTATTTTCAGACCTCTAGGGTCATTAGCGACTTGTAGATATATTATATATTTACAAAAAGAACTTAGAGAGTATGTAACAAATTGGTGATTTCATCAGTTCGGACTTCCATTGTCTAATATAGGTAATATAAATTGATTTGAAATCCCTGAAGAAAATCAAAAAGACTAACCGAAAATAACAATTTTATTAAACAAACACTGAAATTACAAAGGAATAACATACAAGCAATAACCAAAAAAAATAAAAGCTTGGAAAATTGATAAAAGCTGAAAATTAAAAAATATCATTAACAAAAATTAAAAATAAAAATTAAACGATTCCAAACCAAGTTACGTCACGACGTTTCGATTGTTAGTATCCACAATCGTCTTCGGGTGATAACTGGACTATTCCCTCTTCCCTCTCGCCGCTTCATTGGTTTTAGCGGGAGATGACCGTTTAGCGGGAGTTGGTCGTTTTTTACTTGATTAGAGGTTTCCATATGTTACGTATCTCTATGCTAGCTTGAATAAATGCGTTGTTGGACTTCCGCTACATCCATCAATTTATCTTATGAATCTGTTATAATTATTTCTCATTATTTTTCAGAAATCATCAGTAGTAGCAGCAGCAGTAGAAACCAGCAGTGTACGCGAGTATTCATATATTTTATTCTGACAATAGTTTTTCTGAGGTAATGTTCATTTAATGAAAATGGAGATTTTTGAATATGTGCCTCTTCAGAAAAAAATTATTGGAAACCTTTGGGGTGATCTGTCCCACTTTTAAACTGAAACGAGAGTATTGATGAATCTGTAGGTCTATCAAAACTGTTCAGAATACCCATCAGTTTCGACATTCAGCATCATTCCGGCGTGAAGAATATCTGTATGTAATTTCTGCTCAATAATGTTAGATTTAAGTTTTCAATTGATACAATGTCATTTAGAGAATGTCCATCTTGAAATCACTTAAGAATGAACTCATCATGCAACTATTAGAAATCACACAGTGATAAAGCAAGCAATAAAGTACACATCTAGGATTGAACAAATAGTTTAAGTGCATACATGAGTTTATTCCGAAGGCCAACAGAAACGAATTTGGAAATGAGGTTTCATTATAATGGTCCAGTCATCTTAGTCCAAATTAGGTGAGTAAGACTCAAAACGTATTGCAATATGCTCAAAACTCATTTCACGTGGAGGTATTGATAATAAGAAAGCAAGCAAAAACCATAGCAATGTTCTTTTTAGATGGTATCCTTTAAAAACCGGTTAATGTCAACGTGGCAACATTAGTTCAAAACGCCTTGCCAACTTGTTTTGTATATTACAACATCAGTTGTCAGTATTTTAATTTAAGTTTTAGGTTCGTTAACTTCAAGGCTGACAAATGGTTAGGTTATCGGAAATGCATGAAATAACAGTTTTGCAAATGATTGGTTACGGAGATAAAACCCGAACATAACAGGAAGTAGCTCGCCTATCACATGGGAAACTTCCCAATTCACCGCCCGTATCTCAAGGAACAATAAGCAAAATAGAGAAGCAGTTTCGCGAGTATGGTCATGTGGGGCAGATACAAAATCAGCTGCCAATGCTATGAGTCATGAACTCGAATTATTAATTAAATTCTCTACAATATTGATTTTGAGCACAAATAGCGAGAAACCCATAGAAGAAGAGATATTTGCAAAAAATATACAAAAAATTTATTTTTTTCACCTTTGACCTTCTATTTTAATAGTATCGTACACCCTATCATATGTAGGTTTTTAGACAATTTTCAGGATGTTAAAATACAAGTTTATATTATTTTGTAGCTACGTATCTCAGGTTCTGAAGTGAGCTCACTAAGATGACTGGACTTATTTAATATTTTTTCTTATGAGAAATAAATTTTTATTATTATAACTGTGGAAGTGACTTTCCTGAATTGGATATTTAATATTCATGAAATTATTCCCATGTTTTAATTTTATTATCAGTCTGTGAAATGTGATAAAAATAGTTGTAAGGATTTATTGTTGTATAACCGAAGATAAATCGTCCATGGAAGTAGCTAATGACTTGACATTTTTTTGTTTCGCAATAATAATATTACAAGCATTCTGATTCTGAAAAATTTATATTACTTATGTTTTTATTTCATAGGAATAAATTTGTAGAAGTAACAAAATATAGGTGCCAAAGTTTGTAATAAAACGTATAGAAAAAATTTGACCTTTGATTGAATACCCATCATATTTTGAAGACTGGTTCCAATCCATTTATCCCAGAAAAGAACTATTGAGGAATTAATATAGATTGTTGCCTGAAGTGAAGAAAACATTCACTTGAGTTAACACAAAAATTAAGAAAACGTCTATATAAGTTCAGACTTCTGAAAAATATATTTGAAGTGAAAATTTTATTAGTGTTTTATCACGCATTATTTTTCGATATTACGACCTATGGAATCATAGTCTGGGGAGGTGCTTATGGTAATCCATTAAAATCTATCGAGTTTATTCATAAGTATGCAATAAAAATATTTTTTTAAAAACCTTTCATATTTCTATCAGAAATTTTATTCAGATCATATTTCATTTCATCCCTTAGAGAAACATTTCACAAGATCACTACAATATATTGTATATAAAAAAGCATTTTGCCAGTACTGGCCTAATTGAATATAAGTATAATTCAATATCAAAGATCGATAAACGATTTCAAATGTACGTAACTTATTTCATCATCGCCATAAAATACCCCGGAGGACCTAAAATGAATAAATCATTTATGAAGAAAAGAGAATTGAAACTTTCTGATTTTTACCACTTTTGTTTGTAACTTACGTTACTGCAGTTCCGTCCTATAAGGACGTTTTCAAGCTTATACATTGAATGTATACGTTTAATGTATACATTAAATGCAAGTTTGAAACTGTCCATATAGGACGAAACTGCGGTAACGTTAGTTACAAATAAAAGTGGTAAAAAACATAGAAAGTTCCAATTCTCTTTGCTTCATTATGATTTTGGTTATTATTATACACGCATGGGACATTTTAGATAAAAAAACCTTATGATCGTGTATCACTCTCTAGCTAAATCAATAATAACATAAACGTATGGGGTAACATGTTCAATAATTCCTTGAATCAACAACCCAAAATATACGGTGTGTCTCACTTCTCATGGAAACACCCCCGTATTTTCCGTAATATTCGAGGTAGAACGATGAAACTCTCAGGACTGATGGAGATGCTCAAAATGCACCTACCACCTGAATGGGCCTGAATTGGCCAAAGTGATATACACTGTCCGCCACTCACAATGGAACACCCCATTTTTACGGTAAAATATATTAGGGGGCAAAATAGGCTCAAAATTCCTTCAGATTCGTGATCAGGACTACCAACTTACTACGATTACACTATTTTCCTGAAAAAATTTCAGTCCTGAAAAATCCGAATTTGTCTCACTCCTTATGGAAACACCCCCGTATCTTCCGTAATAACTGAAGTAGATTTTTTTTTGGTTTTGACAGCAAAACATGAACGAAATTGCTTAAAAGAGAAACTCGACTCTTGTTTTCACATAAATAATTTATTTTTTATTATGTTGTCAGGAAAGTTATTCCTTCTCAATAAGAGAGAAAATGGTAATTTGGTAGAGGAACGGAAACATGTAATCTGTGACGTTTTAGGATGGTTAATGTTAGTTCATATTCTCATTTTCTCATTATTTAAAAAAAAACAAGAATATTTTGTGGCGAAAAATGTTATGTAGTTCAAAATTATTTCGAAGTACTACTTTCGAAATCACATTTTCAGTTAAAAAACAAAACAATCAATTTCAAATGATTTAACTTTTGACAATTTTATATTTTCGTGCCTTCTATGAAATTTCCCTCCAATCGAACACATTTTTCTATGCGCCTTCTATTATTTCCTCCAACTCTTCTCAGTTCTCTAGGTGTGATTTCTCTACACGCTTGTATAATTGTTGCACGGAGATCTTCCTTATTTGTTGGCCTTTCCTCATAAACTTTATTTTTTCAAGTTTCCCCATAAAAAAAATCCAGTGAAGTTAAGTCTGGGGATCGAGGTGGTCATACTACGATAGGGCTATTGTGTCCTATCCATTTCATAGGTAGATTCCTATTGAACCAAACCCTTGTTATGCCACTATTGTGAACTGGTGAACCATCTAACTGAAAAATCACGCTGTGTCTCACGTTCAAAGGTAGTTCTTCCAACACATCGGAAAATGCATTTTCGAGAAAATCAACGAATGGTCGTGCGTTTAAATTTTGATCGAAAACAATGGCCGATAATATTTTCGTTCAGGATACCACACCACACATTAACTTTCTGAGATATTTGGTCTCTACAATTCACCACCCAATTTGGATTTTGTTCAGCCCAAAACCTCATGTTTAGGGAAGATACAACACCATTCGTGGTAAAGGTAGCCTCATCATTGTATAAGATATACTTTATTTCATTGAGATAATTTCCCTGCATCCATAAACAATACTCCATACGGCGGATTTCATCTCCTTCGTGCAAAGTATGTAAAAATGTGGGTTTGAATGCATGCATTTTATGCCTCTTTAAACACCTCCATATTTTACTGCGGCTCATATTGAGTTGAAGCGATAAGTTTCTCAAACTGATTCTAGGATCAGCTTGATGAGCCGCCAATATCGTATCATCATCAATATGATGTTTTACAATTTTTCTGTCCTTTGTTACTTGGCCGGTGCTCACGAATAGATTATATATTTTATGTACAGTTCCACGGTGTACAGCTACCTCTAGCGGGTGTCTTCTATTAAATTCAGCGGCCGCTTCACGATAAGACCTCACCCTTTCACCAACAATTAAAACAATTTCAATTTTTGCTTGAAGTGACAGACGTGCCATGTTGAACTTTGTCAATCAAAATGAGCTGATATCAGTTAAAATGGGAACTTCAGAAATATTAAAATATGAACAGGAACTCACGAACAGAAAACAACTGGAACACAGCAACAATATCCAACACAAATTCAGGAACAATAAACACAATGGGAACAAAAACACGGCAGAAACAACAGGAACGACGGTGATTCAAAGAACAACAATACTAGAAACAACAAATGCAATGAAAACTGGTCTGGGGGTTAATAAAACAAAATCTTTCAACAATATTGTCAGGTTGACAGTAAATATCAATGAGCAACTGTTTTCCATGGTGATTTCACGGCACCGCATGATTCAATGAAACTGAGTAAATCAATCCCTTCAAATGACTTCAAACAACAATTCAGCAAGTAAGTAAAATAATCTAAATTCTACCTGTTCACCGAGTGCGATTTTTTCTTTAAAAATTAACAGTTGCTTAACAAAGCTCAGAATTGTACAGTTTTCGGGATGTGAACCTTTGAATATAGATTTTTTCCATTTTTTGCAGTTTTTGCTCATCAATCGAGAGCTCTCACTTCTGGTTGGGATAGAATTTGGATATTCAGCAACCAGAATTAGTTTTACGAATAACCTTCTTCAGTTATAATAGATGCCACCATCGATAACACTATCTCGATAATCTGAGAATGTGGTGCTGTGACATTTTCCATTCCATCGCGAGTGGCGGACAGTGTATATCACTTTGGCCAACCCCATTCAGTTGGTAGGTGCATTTTGAGCATTTCCATCAGTCTTGAGAGTTTCATCGTTCCACCTCGAATATTACGGAAGATACGGGGGAGTTTCCATGAGAAGTGAGACACACTGTATGTTCAAAAATTTCATTGAAAAAAATAGACTTCTTCCTTCTGAGGAATTATATAAAGACTAGTTGTTGCCCGCGGCTTCGCTCGCGTAGAATTTGGTTTGCCACATTAAGTTTCGTGACAGATCATTTTAAACAAATATCTAGTCATAATATTTTTTCATCAACCCAAAACTTCAGGTTTCCAATTTCAGAACTGACGAAATTCAATACAATCTTTGAAACCCGTTTTCCCCTTTGGAGATTCAAATTCCTGATTTGATTTCTTGATTTACGCTATATAAAGAACTTACCTGCATATTTCAAGATTCTAGGTTCAGTAACTTCGGCTAAGTGAAATTGACAGATGAAACTCTCAAGATGGCGACTGGGCGCCTTCTGGGAAAAAAAATCAAATTGTCTTGAGTTATGAATATGAGAACATTATTCAGTTCAGTTGATTTATAATTTTATTTTATCTAGTTGTATATAGTTGCTATTGTATGAAGAAAAAGTATAAAAGTTTGTGTCAATAAAATTCAAAAGAAACATTTCATTTTCTTTAACTGAGGAAAGTTATTAATT